ATGTGGCGTAGGCCGTTTGGACTGGGCGAGGAAAGTTTCTTCACTCAGTGGTGAACCTGTGGAATTCTGTACTACAGAGGCTGTGGAGACTAAGTCACTGAGTGTAATCAAGAGAGAGATAGATAATTTTTAAAGGCATCAGGGGGCTTCGGAGAAAGTGGGTATATGGCACTGAGATGGAGGATCCGTCATAAGCATATTGAATGGCAGAGCAGGCTCAAAGTGCCGACTCCCACTCCTGGTCCTTTGTTTCTATTTTAATCTTGGCTGGGAACTATTCCTTGGGTCCAATGTACAGAAATTCTGGTAAATCCAAGGGATCACAGTACAGTTACCCTACCATTTAAAACATTCACGTTTAAAACATGTAGTCACTGTGTTGGCCAAGACATGATTGCTGTTAATTGTTTGTATGAATATTAATCTCAGTGTCGCTACTCAATGTGTCTTCCGTCTTCTGTTCATCTTCCAGCAGAAGCAGCTTCATTTATTCACCAATTTGTACCTCTTACGGTCCATTGAATACATAACCAAACATGAGTAAACAGTACTTGGCCATGGTGCAATGAATAAAGTTAGAGTCTTTTGTGGCAGCTTCTATAATTTTCTGCCAAAAAGTTATTGATTTCAAAACTTGTTAAAGCATCTTGTAAAGTGGACATGACATGATGTGTGTAAAAAAAGTCAGGTTTCTCCAATACTGACTGTTATGCACAATGTTTACAGTTACAGTCAATATTTACAATGTTCATCACATGTCAAACAGATACCTTGAGGGGGATTTTCAGTTTGCAGTCGCTTGATGCATTATGGCCTTTGAAGGTGACCTCTCTCCATTTCTCCTTTGTGGCAGATGCCCCAAGCTTTAGTACAACACTCAGCACATTGTCCTAGATCTCAGTTTGAAGTGCTCAGTCTTGGGCACCTTCTTCCACTGGAACACCAAAAGGTTTTGGGAAGGCCAAAGAGCCTCTTTCACTGTGTTGGTTCTTTAGCCTGCATTTGACCTTTTTCTCGGTCTACATCCCCGGGAACAGACTGTGAAGTACAGAGTCCTGCATTACATTACAAAACTGTTTGGGATGTACCTCAACAAAAACAATTGCAGCTTTATCCAGTGCTGCTTTGCAAAGGCATATCCCAGAAAGATGTGGATAATATTCTCTTTCCCACCACCGCCATCTCAAAGGGAGCACTGGGTGGGGTGAAATTCCAGAGGTGTGGAAATTACCTGATGGAAAGGAGGGATAGGCTGTTTCTGCCACCAGCCAAGCTATCTCTTGGTGCTTGTTTAAAGGTTTTGGCATTCAGATATTCTGGCAAATGACTTTCTGCTCAGCAAACCATCTGACAGGATCCGACATTTCCTTTTCCTGCAGGATCTTGAAATTAATACAGGCAGACTTGTGGTCAGTGGTGTATTTCATCTCAAATGTCTTCCCGAGGAACAGATGGTACGACATAGCCTAACTAAATGGGGTGCTGTGTGTCAGTGTTGCCTGACCTGTCCTTCACAACACTGAGGATAGACTTCGGCACAAAGTGACACTTGGTGTTTGCCTGCTGAGAGTCTACACGCAACTTGATGCAGCTGCACACAAAACTGGTCATCAGGATGAAGGCAATATATTCTTTACCGCCACCCCCTTTGTGTAGAAATTTGTCACTCCGTCATGCCCAGTTTCAGTTTAATGTTGGCTATATGCTGCTTCTAGGTTTGGCACATGCTATGCCCCCTCCAAACCATGACTGAAGCATCTGCAGGAAGGCTGACCTGACAGTGAATGGTACAAAAGCTGGGTCAACCCAGTTCCAAAAGAATGTGACCTCATTCTTGCCACAACTTACTTTGGCTCCTATCGGCAATTCAGTCTGGTTAGAGATGTGAGTCAGTCTGTGGATCTGGCCGGAGTTCCAGCAGAAGGTGTTACTGTTGTTCTTGTACAAGGAGGCTTTGATCTGAGTGCCTTCGCTGCCTCGGATTGTCACCCTTCTTATGTTGCAGCCTTGCCAATAGACTCTACAACAAGTTTGCTATAGTGCACACACAAGATCTGAGGTTACAACAGCTTGGATGAGTGTTAAACATGGAGTTTGCAAACTGTTGTGTTTAAACAATGTTCAGATAGCAGTTCACTTCACAGTGTATTGGGAGATTATTTCAGCAGTAGATGTTTTATTTAAACCAGAGATTTAAATAAACAACGTTGCTTTTCTTTTCAAACAACTATTTATGTACATGTGAGTAGCAATGTTCACAAAGTCTTAAAACTATATAAGAGCAGGTTAGGTTGCAAACCCTTCTAATTGATCACTTCAAAGGGTAACTGTGTTGGATCAAGGCAGTTCATAAACAAATTGATTTGAAATTAACTTAAAATTAGAGCTGATGCCTTATACTGGCCTCTCATGTACCAGATGAATGGCATTTGCACATATGTACCCACTGTAAGTGATGAGGGCTATATCAGATGCATTCCATTTCTCTTCTCTTGCCTTCTTCAGCAGGCCTGCTATATCCTGTTTATCTTGCACCCATTGTGATCTTGTTGATCAGGAAAATGCTCCCAGTTTCAATCTTTGATCTGTGCCCGATTTAAAAAGAAAATCATTTGTATTATATTGTACAAAGTCACTTCACATCCACTGAAGTACATGGAAGTGTAGTCACTGTAGCAGTGTAGGAAACCTGGTCGTTAGTTTGTACTTTACAAGTCCCAGGACCAGCAGTAAGAAATAATCTTCAATAGTGTTGATGTTTGAGAGATAATTGTTGACCAGGACCCCAGGGCAAACTTCCTAAATCATCTTTGAATCATATTGTTGGATCTTTCTTGCGTGAGAGGACAGATGGGGCCTTACTTTAATTTCTGATCTGAAAGTCAGGACCTCTGACAGTCTGGCACCCGTTAAGTGCTGCACTGCAATGTCAACTTGGATAATGTGATGAAATGAGGCTTGAACCCATGAACCTTTGATCCAGTGGTGAGACATGCTGCTGAGCCTAGCTGGTATTATTACTGGGGCAACTTGAGTTCTATTGTGAAGTTCTTTGGTAAATAAGGAGGAATATCGTCAAGATTTCTCTTTCTTCACTGCCACCTAGGAACTCTTCCCAGAAGATGAAAGTGTTTGACAGGTGACCAACAGGAGGTTTGGCTTTACTTGTTGACCTAACTTATCGGTGAAGTATAGCTGCTTAGGCATATAGCTGGAGAGTACAATTGTGTGCACAAAGAGTCAGGACCTTCAGGATGGATGTGTGATGAAAATTGGCAGCTGTTGTGGGTTTAAGGAGCATATTGGCAGATGAGAGAGAATGGAATTAGGAATTTGGAAATGGAACTCCATACCTCAGATTCTTCATCCACTGAAGAAAACAGCCACCGAAAAGAAATTGGGGAAACCCAAGAGGCCAGAATTGGAGGAATGCAGGGTGCCCCGAGCATTGTAGGGCTAAAGAACAAAAAGGGAAGAACTCGCTATCAGTTGTTCTTCAAAACAACCAGTTTTTTCCCTTTGGTACCTCGGACAGAAATACATATATATTTGTGGAAATGAGGGTACCTTGGGAGTGAGATATCAACAGAAAGCGGTGACCTGATAGAAGTGTATAAGATTGAGAATGGCATGGATAGAGTAGAAAGTTTGAGGCTTTTTCCCCAGGGTGGAGGGATCAATTACTAGGGGACACAGGTTCAAGTTGCGAGGGGGAAGTTCAAAAGATAAGTGTAAGACCATTTTTTCACACAAAGGGTGGTGAGTGCCTGGAACACGTTGCCAGAGGAGGTGGTGGAAGCAGACACAATAGCAGCATTCAAGAAACACCTGGACGAATACACGAATAGGAAGGAAATAGAGGGATATGAATCCTGTAAGTGAGGACACTTTTAGTATGGAAGGGCAAAATGTGTCAGCACAGGCTTGGAGGGACGAAGGGCTTGTTCCTGTGCTGTATTGTTCTTTGTTCTTCGTTTCTTTAGAAAGCTAATTGGAGAATTTGAATAATTACCAAACAGAATAAAGGACAAATTATGGTTTAAAAACAGCACAGCCCCTTCGCTTTGTGAATATCTGGGGTTGTATTTAGTCCTTCTAGCCTGTTTGTGTTGTTGAGCTTACAAAAAGACAGACTTGCACTAATTTAATACCTTTCATGGCTGCTGAATGCCAAAAAGATCAATGAAATACTATTGATGTGTAGCTCTTGTTGTAATGTGAAAAGCAGCCACTTTGCAGAGAGCCAACTCCCACAAACAGCGATGGAGTAAGAACCAGATAATCTGCTTTGTGATGTTGCTTGAGAGTTAAGTATTGGGGGTCTCTTTTAAAACAGCATTATGGAATTTTTCACATTCCACTTACAGCATACTCGAGACTTCAACTTAATTTCTAATTCAAGCCACAGCACCTCAATAATACAACACTCCCTACATACCACACTGTGTGTTAGCCATAATCATTATGCTCAAATCTGCAGTGGGGCTTGAACCCATTTATAACTCAGAGGAGAGTGCCACCAACTGGACCATGTAATTTCCCCATATCCCAACTCGCTATTGACAAACAGAGGTATCCCCAGAGATATGGGTGGTATTTCTGTGCTGGATAACACACTGTTGGGAACACTATAACAAATTCCATTTTAATTATCTTAATAGCACAGCCATTAAAACAGCATTTTGGGTTTTGTATAAAACTCGAATACAGGACATCATCAGAAACATATTTGAACTTGAGACCATTGTAATCCTTCAGTTAATGGTCACAGTGCATTCGATCCTGTTGTTTGAGGCTCACCTCCCAATCTGAAAAGCAGCTAAACCCAATTCTCAGATGCAGATGACAGATGTGTAAAGTGCTGAAGGTTATCTGTGCCTTGTCTCACATGCTTGTTCTTTTGCCCGTCAGTTATGGCAACGCTACAGCTTCCAGCCACCAACTTAGCCAACCTGGCTAACCTCCCCCCAGGGACCAAACTGTACCTAACAACCAACAGCAAGAACCCCTCTGGCAAAGGAAAGCTGCTGTTAATACCTCAGGGGGCCATCCTGCGTGCTGCTCAACCAGCAGGTAAGATCTTTCTGCAGCCAGATCATTTGGGTTAAGGGTGACTGTAGAAGTACTTTACTTACCTGGGACTCAGAGGTTCAGGCCACCATTTGGCTCGCTAGAGAAATGTACAAGGCCATAGATCAGAGCCAGTCTCAGCTCTGACCAGGGGTCAAATAGAAAAGAGTAAAGAAAGATGATCAGAATTTGCACAATGGAGGGTTGCTCTTCTTTACTGACCGTGTCTCCTCTGTCTCTGTAGTTGATTTATGGTGCGTATTACAGTGTGCCACTAATCAATAAATCAGATCTTTTCCATTTATTCTAGTCCAAATAGAATCCTTGACCTTGGTCATCTGTAAAGTGTATCCCAATTATTCATCAGGTTAAATACTCCAGGTCCAGTGCCTGTCTGTACATAGCTGTGTCCACAGAAAAATTGAGTCCCAAATAGTTTGAAACACAGAAATTATAGACTCGGGCTCTCTTATTCCCTCCTCACCACAAACAATCATGCAGAATTAATGTTGTCCTCTCCTTGAGTACTCACAGCCTTACTGCCACCACTCATTACATACTTGTCCCTTTCCCTGCAAATTACCACACACAACCTTACTGCCAATGCGCACACAATAGCACAACCAAAAGGATTGTATACATACATTTCTTTGATGTAGAACCTAAAACTGAGTTTATTTTGTAAGTTATTCTAAAATAAATTTTGTAATTTTAAATTTATTACAATATAAATCTTCCATATGTTTTTATATATTCACCAATGTGAATAGTTAACTGCTTTCTTTCTGTAAAAATGGTATATAGACACAGATTTTCCAATAATTATTTTAGTAAATAGGAAACATATGATTTGCAAATTGCCTCCTGAAAATCTTCGTAAAAATTGAATGGATGATGCTGACTGCGTTTTAGATAAGCAATTTGCAGATTATCTACCTCTTTGTATCTGTGCTTCTATCCAAAATATTTCAGCTCTCAACTAATCCCTTTGTCTCCCCTTTAAGGAAATCTCTGTGGTGTACATTATAAAAGGTGCAGTGTTTCCTGCCCTCAGTTGTCAGCATGTTGAATATGTTGAGTGGTTATAAACTTGGTCAGTGATGGATAAAATGCATGAAGTGTGAAACGGTGTGGTGCATACCCAATCATTCGTGCATTATTCAACACAAACACAGCACTCTTCTCACTCCACACTTGCTCCTCTGGGCAACACAAAGGCTCTGATTCTCCCTCCCACACTCTATCCCCCACCACAACTGACACCATTCCCTAATGGGTACTCCTTTAGGTAAAGGAGTAGGCCATTCAGCCCCTTGAGCCTGCTCCACCATTTAATAGGGTCATGGCTGATGGGACATGTCAATATTTTTTACTCACACTATCCCCATAACCTTTTATACCGCTGGTAAGCAGAAATCTATCAATCCCACCTTAAACATACTCAAAAACTGAGCTATCACAGCCCTCTGGAGTAGAGAATCCCAAACATTTACAAATCTCTAAGTAACACAAAATTTTCCTGTATTCAGTCCTAAATGGTATCCCCCTTATTTTTAAATTGAGTCCTTGGTTCTAGACTCCCCAGCCAGAAGAACCATCTTATCTGCATGCACCCTGTCAATCCTGCTGAGTATTTTGTATGTTTCAAGAGATTGCCTCCCTGAAAATAGAGTTAAATAGCTTAATGCTGCAGCTTGTGGAACTGCCCTACATGATGGCACCAGGAACAACCAGAATTAACTCCTCCAATCATCCAGTGACAGGATCCTTCTCTCCCTTCCTTGTTGCTCCTCAATCACAGGTTCTAGCTCTGGAGGAGCAGCAAGAGTGTGAGAGAAGGAACCTGTTATTGGTGGAGCAAGTGTGACCAGCATGCGAGAGACAGAATCTGTGATTAGTGGAGCAGCTTCTCCCAGATTCAGTCTCTCCCATATTTGGGGAAATGGGAACATCCCTGTGATTTAATTTTTTGTGTGTATTTTAGGGGCTTTTGGGGGTGAATTTGCCCACGATCCCTGTGTAATTTAAACATTGCTACCATTTGTTCTCACCAGCCGTAGCCTTACAACTCACGCTGACTGCACAGAAATACACAGCACAAGTTCTCTTGCTGCCCCCACCCCTCCCCTCTCTGTACATAGTCTTATTATTGCCCCAGCACCAACCACACTTACACCCAGCATCACTAGTGTCACTACACATGGGGACATGCACTGGCCAGTTTCTGTTCTGTAGTCATCACTTTTTAATTCATGCAATGTTCCTGTGGACTGTGTTCTTTTAGCAGCGCAGCAAGTGCAGGGAGCAACAACAGGCACGACTGGTAGCATACAGGGCACCGTGGTTAGTGGATTACCCCAGCAGCTGGGCTACACATCGTATATCCTTAAGCAAACGCCACAGGTCAGTCCCAGGACACTTTCATATATTATTGTCCACCTACCTGTGTTGCTGTATTTCATTGGCCAAGACGAATGTAAGTGAACGAATGACAAAAAGAAAGAGGTTCAGTGTTCATTGACCTACTGTGAATGAGTGGATTGGTTGATAACATCAGAATCGGAGTAGATCATTCAGAATGTAGGCCATTAAGTATGGATCTAAAGTCTACTTCTTGGCCTTCTACAAACCCTAAAATCCTTACCTGATAGAAATCTGTTAAATCTCAATTTTTTTTTTTACTACCTGAAACTATTACTATGTAGATGGTAGTTCAAACTCTGCCGTTGAATTTCTGGTGTGGACTGTGATCTGTAAGTGAGCCCACTGGGATTGCAGGGCCACAAAATAGCATCTCTTGTCTTCAGACAAAAAGCTTCACATAAAACAGTTTCATGTGCCCGTCAGTATTTGTGAGCATAATGAGGGAGTACAGGGACAAAAGTATTTTCGTTGGATGTTGTGAATGTGGCAAAAAGGGCATTTCTTGTGAATTTTAACTTTGGTTCCTCTGTTGGAATCTAGCCCAAATAGACCACTCTATTATACCTATATCTTTCTATCTTTTTCCTTCTAATGCTCTCTATCTCGGTTCACATCTTTCTATCTCTATTTCATGATCTCTAACAATGATTTTATCCATGTCTTTCTGTTTCAATCTCTCCCTCTCCCTCTCTCTCTCTCTTTCTTGGAGAAGTCCTTAGGTGAACTGAATTTGGAACGGGATAAGTCAAGTTACTGTGTAAAAATGCCCTCTGATTCAGCACTAAATTCAGCTTCACTCAGTAAGGTGACCATATACCTCTTGTTTGAATCAGCAATGTCATACAGGTACTCTTGGGTTCAGGTACTCTGAGAGGTTGGAACTTCGTCAAAAATGAAAGCTCATCAAAGATTTGTACATCACTGAGCTGCTTTTATACCTGTGTACAATGATTCTGGGATATTTGAGCTTCATCAGCTGGACCATAATGATACAATTGGAGGAATAGGCTTCAAGGCATTTCCAGGTCTGGTAAACTGATGACACTGGCACATTGGTATCGTTCCTGTACATCACTCACAGGGTTTGAGGGTTAAATTATGAAGACGGGTTGCCTAAACTTCACTTTTATATTCCCTTGACTTCAGAAAATTAAGGAGTGGTCTAATTGCGGTGTTGAAAATGTTGGATGGATTTAATTGAGGACCTATTTCTTTTTGAGCAAAGTTTGAGCTAGGCTATTTAATGGGAATTCTGGATGCATTTATTTCACAAAAAGAGTAGTGAAAATTTGAAATGCTTGTCTACAAAAAACTGTGTGTACATGGATATTGGTAGTTTTAAAGTCAAAGGGTATAAAACTAATACATGTAAGTGGAGTTGAGGTACAGATCAACCAGTGTCTAGTTGAATGGATTGAGGAGCTAGATTGTTTCTTCTGTGTTTCCTGGTGTTATGTACCCCATAGGGACCAAAAATAAAAGAAAGATTCCCCATTTTGCCAACGGGAAAAAGCCCAATGACAAAATATCAATATACTGCAAACGTTCGTCATCAAATAAATTATCCTTAAAATGCACATTTTCAGTAATAGTTGATACACTCGCATAGTTACAAGAATTCCCAGAGATTCTCTTCTTCAACCCCTTTAAACAATAATTGATGCCTTTGGCAAAACTGAAATGGCAGCAGTGGTGAGTTCCTTCTAATTTACAATTCCTATTTTCTGACCTTTCCAACTGTATTACGCTCAGTAACACAGTCCCTACTTTATCCTCAGAGTCCTCTCCCTGCTTTTCCAGCAGGGTCTATTATGACCCACAGGCTCTGAGAACAGCAGTCATTCCCAATCAGCTATTTATGTGTTGCTGTTGAACATTTACCCCCAAAGCAACTCCAAACCACACTGGAATTTCTCAGAATTAAGATACTTACTAGGAACCTAAATCACAGCCTTTTCAGAATATACACGTTTCAGTTTGGATTTCATGAAAATTGCCAAAAGAAGATTTTTCTTTTCCCTCCAAAGAACAAGGCATTATCATAATAATACCTCACTTAAATGAATTTAACAGGGCAGTGTACTTAACTGCGTAATAATTTTTTATGAGCCTGCAACCTCCCTTTGCATGTGATTGACTAAATTATAATACATACCTAAAAGAATATGGTTTGGTGTGACATGCTAGAGCAGTAGCTCTCTATAAAGTCTTACAGCACAGAAGGTCATTTGTCCCATCATCTCACTGCCAGCTCCTTAAAAGAACAATGTATTTAAACCTGTTACTGCATCGCAGTTCTGAAATGTTTCCTTTTCAATTATGTATTCAGTTCCCTTTGAAATGTTTTGTAATTTTTATCACCATCTCTGGCAGTGTTAAAAACAAATAATCTTTTCCCTGGTTGCTTTGCCAAGTACAACAAACCTATATCTTCCAAGTGCCAACTCCTGCCAGAAGAAACAGTTTTTCCTTTTCTACATGATTAAAATTACTCATTAAACTCCCTTCAAGTTTCTCCGCTGAACCACTAGAGGCTCTGTAGTTAATTAGTAAAATTAGATCACATGGGATTCAGGATGAGCTTGCCAATTGGATGCAAAATTGGCTTAATGGTAGGAGACAGAGGATGGTGGTAGAGGGTTGTTTTTTGGACTAGAGGCTTGTGACCAGTGGTGTTCCTCAGGAATCAGTACTGGGTCCAATTTTGTTTGGCATTTATATAAATGATTTGGATGAAAATATAGGAGGTGTGGTTAGTAAGTTTGCAGATGACACTAGACTGCTAGTGGTATAGTAGGCAGTGAAGAGGTTATCTAAGATTACAAAGAGATCTTGATCAATTGGGTCAGTGGGCTATGGAGTGGCAGATGGAGTTTAATTTGGATAAATGTGAGGTATTGCATTTTGGTAATACAAACAAAGACAGGACTTATACAATGAATAGTAGGGCTCTGGGTAGTGTTGTAGAACAGAGAGACCTAGGAGTTCAGGTACATAATTCTTTGAAATTTGTGTCACAGGTAGACAGGGTGGTTGAGAATGCGTTTAGCATGCTTGCCTTCATTGCTCAGACCTTTCAGTATAGGAGTTTAGATGTCATGCTGAGGTTGTACACGATGTTGGTGAGGCCTCTTCTGGAGTAATGTGTACAGTTCTGGTCGCCCTGTTATAGGAAGGGCATTATTAAACTGGAGAAGGTTCAGAAGAGATTTACCAGAATGTTGCTGGGAATGGAGGGTTTGAGATATAAAAATAGACTAGAAAGACAGGGACTTTTTTCACTGGAGCATAGGAGGTTGAGGGGTGACTTTATTGGGGTTTATGAAATCATGAAGTTCATACAGAAGGTGAATGACAAGGGTCTTTTCCCTAGGGTGGGGGAGTTCAATACTACAGGGCATATTTTTAAGGTGAGAGGAGAAACATTTAAAAGGACATGAGGGGCAGTTGTTCTACGCAGAGAATGGGTTGTGGAATGAATTGCCAGAGGAAGTGGTGGGATGTACATTCAGTTACAATGTTTAAAAGACATGTGCATGAGTTCAGGAATAGGAAACGTTTAGAGGGATGTGAGCCAAGCACAGGCAAGTAGGACTAGTTTAATTTGGGAACATGGTCAGCATGGACTGGTTAGACCAAAGGGTCTGTTTCTGTGCTGTACGACTATCTGACTCAAAAGTGCTTTATTTTTCTGGCCATTCTGTAACCTTGGTGTAGCCAGAAATTCTATTGCATCTCAGAGATGTGAATTTCTAGAGCCAGTTACCGAGGTAACTCCACGCATTAGGAGATGCTGAACTCCCTCACATTGAAATTACGATTTGACAATGATTTTTGTTTTCTCATTCCAGGGCACATTTCTGGTTGGCCAGCCGGTCACTCAGGCCTCTGTGAAGCATGGACCTGGTAGCTCAGTGGCGTCTGGCATGGCAGTGCAGGGGCCGTCTTCTACAAGCACCCAACAGCAGGCAATCAGAGTCTCTGCTACACAAAAAGCAGTGTTTGCACAGGTAACTGCTGTATTCTGCTCAACTGCTAGGGCAGAGCTTTCTTACTTGGACATGAATTCTGTCACTTTTAAGATACCTGGGCATAATTATTTTGAGGCACAGCCCTTTGCCCTTAATCCAACTTATTGCAATCTGTTGAGCTACATAAAGTGACAGACACATATTCTACATAGATTTGAGATTAAATCATCCAGCAAAACATCCCTTCAGAAGATTCCTAAGAAGACTGTTGCAAACCCATTAATAGAACATTGCATTAAAATTTGACTTGGCAAAAAGAGTGAAGGTTGTGTTTGCAGGAGAAATGGAATGTTTGAGACCAATATAACAAATCTTAAGAAAGACACAAGATTAGAACCTTAGAGACGATACAGCCCAGAAAGAGGCCATTCAGCCCATTGTGTCTGAAGAATTACTTCCCTACTAGAGAATAGACCAATGCAACAGAACTCCACTTAAAACCATGAATGTTCTTTTGATTAGTTTCATCCAATTCCTTGTTGTGAATACTCTGTATTGGAATGGGGTTGAGGATTAAGGCCCACTCAAATGATTGTGTGTGGAACCTGGTTCAGGATGTCAAGAAAGGATACAAGTGCTACATTTTGAGGCTTTTTAAAAATAGGTTTTTTTATTATATCTTTATTCTATTGCTTTGTTTCCCTGGTTATTTTTCACTTTGACATTGCAGGTTCCATTAGTATGTGAGCACTAATTCCCTTTGTCCTTGCAAAAGAGTGTTTACAATTGCTCAGATATCTAGGTTAATGTGTAGCTTGGCCAGAAAACAGATACAGCTCCCTATTCAGTTTGTTTAAGCATTGATGTTATCCTATCATCTTGGTGGGATTTTTATTCCTTCAGTCAGAAGGTGATGGCGGTGTCACAGCAAAGGACTGACTTAAGCTTTAATTCCCAAGTACATTAATTAAACAGCATGGACGTAAAAGATTAGTAGCAAGTGCACAGGTATGCAGTCATTATAAAGCCAGTCCTAGTCCTTGTATAAAGAGAACAATAAATAGTGCTGTACTATGCTATGAGAAACGTATTATTCCTTGGTTGCATATCCTTTCTGTTTCTTATAATCTATGGATGCTATTTGGGCTGACTCATAACATCATATTTATAATTGAATTGACAGGACGCCAGTCTCACAAACCGGTGAATCATTGCAAAAATTGTAACAATGTATGGGACCTTCTTAGATGAATTTAATTTCACTTGTGAAACAGTTGGTTTGTTTTTGATGGCTACAGTATGATGAAGCACTATTATTTAGAAAAGTAAACAAAAACTAAGAGGGACACTGAAATCTCAATCACGCCTCTGTATGCTTTCTCCCATTTCCGCCAGCAGCATCTTTGCCTGATCATGCTATGGATACATGGTGCAGAATCATAGAATAGTTTCAACACAGAGGATGCCTGCCATTTCTACATTGCTGTCTTTAATAACTCATCTAATGGTACTTCCTCTTCTTTTCCGTAGCTCTGCACATTTTTCCTTTTCAGATATGATCCAGTTCCTTTTTGAAAGCCTTGCTTGAACTTGCTGCCAGCACACTCTCAGACAGTGCATTCCAGACCTTAACCACTAGCTGTGTACAAAACATTTTTTTTCATGTTGTTATTGTTTCTTTTACCCATCATCTTAAATCCCTGCCCTCTGGTTCTTGATGGGACCAGTGGGAATGGTTTTCTCCATATCTGCTTGGTCCGGACATTTCATGATTTTGAATACCTCTATAAAATCTCCTCTTGATCTTCTATTTTCCAAGGGCATTCAAATCCCATCGTGGCAGTTTGAGAATTTGAATTCAGTTTCAAAAAAATCTGGAAATTAAAAAAGTTAATTTCATTGTCTTTTATTGTGTTTGTCCTTCACAGTATTAGGCAGCAGTGAAATCACAACTGATTCACTGAGCCTTCCCGCTTGGCCTGCTGTGTTCATCCAGCACTACACCTTGTTATTTCAGATTCTCCAGCATCTGCAGTTCCTACTATCTCTGATTCACTAATGTTGTTTAATGAAGGAAAACTGCTGTCTTTACCTGGTCTTTCCCATATGTGACTCCATGTAACGTTTAATTGCCTTCTAAAGTGACTTAACTAGCTATTCAGCGGCAACAAACCATGGATCCAGAAGACCGTGTGTTCTGTTCAACCTTACCAACGATGTCCATTATCCAAATCTGGGTGTGAAAAGTTCCGTAATAATAAATTAGTTTGCATTATTGAGGTCTTTTTTTTAAGTAATATGCATGATAATAGACAGCAATTCCTCTAAATATTTGTTTGTTGTACATGATTGACATGTTGCACTGTGCAATCCTTTAAGATTGCATACGCAGCGTTGTTGCTACATGCTGTGTTTGTTCACTGTGGAGCCATGAGGCCTGGCACCAGCACAGCGTTGAGAGAACATTGCTCAGAACATTTCTCATACTTAGAATCAGTGGGTGGAATTTTCGGCTCACGGCAATGCTGAGCTTGGAGATAGGAAAGTTACATAATTAGGTGGGGTGGTGACATACCCAAACCCAACCAACTTCACCAGAATTAAGTTCTGAGTGGGCAGACTCATGGTCGAGCTTCCTGCCCTACTGCCAATTGAGACCCCAGCTACAGAGGGTGCTGTCACTTTGTGATACAAATAGTAGCCCCTAAGCTGCGGGCAACTTGTCACTTCGGAGTTTAGGAGGAAGGTATGGGGTCTCTTGGTCAAAAGGAATCGATGTCTGATTGGCAGGGAGTCACCGTCCTGCCCTTGCATCCAACTCTCGCCTTTCTCTCGGCCTCTGTTCACAACCTCAAACCAAGACCTCTCAACCAACATCACTAAACTCCATGTCTTTGATCCTCAACAAGATTCTGCCTTGCATTTCCACACGGATTTATGAGCTCTCCAGGCATTGGAAACAATTTTAATTTCCTTAGCTTCTATTCACAGCCTGTTATTTGGTGCTGCTGATTCATTCCTCTTCAGTGGAACCTTTCCAATTGCCTTGTGTGGAAGAGTGCACACAGTTGCTGTTATAAAACATTGATATCATTGCCTCAGGCTTTTAGCTAGCATTTGTCTGCTGACCTTTACCATCATAATATCCTTTGTTTGTTGCTGTCACAGTCTCGAATGATTTGGTGTCTTCAGCATTTGAACAAAAGAAATGCAGCAACTATCTGTACATTGCTTAATGTTTGAAAGAAGCTTAAGTGTCAGGTGCGGTCTTGAGAATCTAGTGACTACCAGAGCTTCCAGCTTGCAGTTAATGAGGTCAGGACTGCCTTCCTTTCAGGAAGGATGAGGAGGAGAGGTGTGGGAGGACTTTTATGTTCAGAATACCCCTGTACTTTCAGAACAATGTAGATTTTCTGATTCACATTTCCTCCCTAAGAACTTACAGGAACACTGCGTCAGGAGTAGGGCTCTTTAGCTCATTGAACCTGCTCTACCATTCTATATGATCAATGCTGATCATGCACTTTAATGCCCTTTGTCCGCACTGTCCCCATATCCCTTTACAACAATGTTATTTAGAAACCTGTCAATCACCATTTTAACATGCTTGATGATTGAGCTTCCATAGCTCTCTGGGATAAAGAATTCCTAAGAATCACAACTCTGTGTAAATGTTCTTGCACATCTCTGTCCTAAATGGATTGCCCCTTCAATTATATCCCCTGGTTTTACATTCTCAAACCATGGAAACATCTACATTATCAATCCCTTTAAGTATTTTGTACATTTCAATGAGCTCACCTGACTTTCAAAACTCTAGAGGATACAGCCGCAGTTTATCCAATATCTCTTTGTAGGACAGTACCTACGTGCCAGAAACAAGTATAGTAAATCTTTGCTGCACTGCCTCTGTGGCAGTAATATCTTTACTAGGGTAAGGGCACCAAAATTTCACACAGTAGTTCAGGGCTGTTGAACCAAAGCTCTATACAATTGAGGCAAGACTTCATTACTCCTGTATTGAAATCCTCTTGCAATAAACGCCATTATGCCTTCCTAGTTGCTCGTTTCACCTGCCTGTTAGCCTTCAGTGGCCTATTGGCTAGGAGACGTAGACTCATTTGTACATCTACACTTTCTAGTCTTTTAAGCTATTCCTCCTAACAGAGTGAATCACCTCAAATTTTACATCTTTTCCATCGCTATGTTCTACTAAATAAATATGATCTAAATTTTCTTGAATCTGCTTTGTGCCTTCCTCCCAGCACATATTCCCATCTGCAAATTTATAAATATCATGTTTTGTCCCCACATTTAAATCATTGACTTTTACTCTTTGTTTTCTGTTTGTTAGCCAATTCTTAATCCATAACAATGCATTGCTTCCTTCTCATGTGTTTTAATTTTGCTAATCAACCTACTGCAGGAGACTTGATCACAACCCTTCTGAAAATCCAACTATGCACTAATATTTTGTCAATGCTGTTTATCACTAATAACTACAACAGGTTTGTCCAACACGATCTCCCATTTACAAATGAACGCTAACTGTGCCCAATCAGACCATGTGTTGATTTATCACATCCTTTATAATATATTCTAGCACTTCCCTTCCTACTGATTTAAGGCTGAAAGGTCTGTAATTCTCCGTTTTTTTCTTCCTGCCTTCTTCAATCAAGGGTGAAACTTGACACCTTCAGCCTGCTGGAACCATTCCAGAATCTATAGAATATCCATGTCTGTTGAATAGTCTGTAGGTTTGGCGACCGCTTTGCAGAACGTCTACGTTCTGCTCAGAAAAAAGACCCTGGACTACCTGTTGCCTGCCACTTCAATGCACCACCCTGCTCCTTGGCCAACATCTCTGCCTCTGGCTTGCTGCAGTGTTCCAGCGAAGCCCAACGCAAACTGGAGGAACAACACCTCATTTTCTGCTTGGGGACCCTACAGGCCTCCGGATTCAATATTGATTTCAATAATTTTAGGGCCTAAACTCTCCCTTGTCCCAGCCCCCTACCCCACGCACCAGGCCTTGTTACCACATAGCCCGCCATTACATACCCTCTGTTATTAGTCACTAATAGTCCCCATTAGCAACTATTCACCCTCCCAGTCTGATCGTTAGCATCTCCTTTGTCTGTTCAACTGCCTTTCTCTCTCTTTGGGCTCTATCCTATCGTTTACGCCCTACCCCACCCACCTCCCTATTTTCTGCATATAAACTGACGTTTTCCCAGCCACCATCAGTTCTGAGGAAGGGTCACTGGACCCGAAATGTTAACTCTGTTTTCTCCTTCACAGATGCTGCCAGACCTGCTGAGCTTTTCCAGCAACTTTGTTTGTGCTCCTGATTTACAGCGTCCGTAGTTCTTTCGGGTTTTTTTTCTGTAGAATAGCAATTATCCTTGACTATTTGTTCATGCATACAGATGCACAGACTCTGTACTTGCGTTGATGCATCCAGCCTCACCACTTCTTTTAATCATGCAACCCATTTCTTGCTGTCTTCCTTTTCACTTTTCTCTCCTCCACATTTCTCTCTTCTCCACCTCTTTGATCTAGCTTTCAGTCCCCTCTCCTAACTTTCATCCACTGCTTGGCCATGTATTCCGCTTGTTAGTTCTTGGTAAAACTGGAGTATTTAGTATGTTCACTGCGCTGTTTAAACTTGTCTGGCTGTAGTTCTTATTCGTGAAGAGCATGAATTGCATAGCCTGCCTCCCATGGTGGACCCAACCAAAAGTAGCATCCCTATTGCTTTCATTAGGGTCCACCATCTGTGGACGCTTGCTGCTGGTGCTGATATGGGACAGCCTCGCAGGGAAAGATGACCCACCTCATGCAGTTTGGAAACTTGACACTTTGACAAGACAGTGGTAAGCCATCTGCCACTGTCTATTGCATTGTGTTTATCACTGAAGCGGGAGTAAGTGTACTTGTTTTATGAACAGGTTGTCCCCAGTGCTCAGGTGTCTTCTCTGCACTCAGCTGCTGTTTCCTCGCTCGTCCAATCTCCCTCACCTGACGGAGCAGCAAGGCCACTATCCGTAGCGTCTCCTCTCTCACAGCCTGGCACCACCACCCTGCGAGTAGCTGGAGGAGTCATTACAACAGCCAGCCTCTCAACACCAGTATCAGGAACAACACCAGCAACCGTAGGAACTATGGCTGTGCAGGTAACAGGGTGGAGGAGAGGGGAAGATGCATAATCAGCGGTAATAAAGAATGATGGCTAACTAATTGTATGCTGAGAGTTCTGGAAACCATTTTTACCCTGGGAATGTTTTGATTGGTTTAAGAGAGGGTAATTTGCAGGCGTCTCCTGGTTTTTGAATTCTCTGCAAGCACTTCAACACTGACATAATTTCTCCTTCCTTTTGTTCACAGTCAGAAGTAAAGGGCTCCAGCCCTCCTGTGAATCCAGCTGTGTCCACAGCGAAAGCCTCAGGCCAGCAGCCCTCCGTCCCAGTATCCCAGGCAGAACCCAGCACCAGCCAGTCACCTTGTGTTGTTTCTGTTGGCTCACAGGTGGCCCATGTGGTGGTTTCGCAGCCCAGTGCTGGAGGATCCAGCAAAGCCAGCAGTTCAGCTGGTTCTGGTGTGGCCTCCTTTGCATCCAGTTCCATTGCTGCAGCAAACACATTGAGTGGACAAGTCACACCAACAGTATCAGGTAAGATAGCAGCTTCTGATTTTTAGAAACCAGTTAAATCTCTCTTCCATTTTGGGCAGGGCAGGGCAGGACCACTCATCTTAAAAACTTGCAGTGTCTCTCTCCACAGTACTTGTAGTGGAGGAAGGTGCTGAAGACTGCAGTCATTATTTCTCCAGTTATTTCTTCAAGATGTTTCTTTTGTTAAGCCTTGCTAGAATTTAGTTGTCAGACTGAGATTGTTGGGTACTGCAAAGATCAAAAAAATTATTTTCTAATCAACCTGTTCAGAGATATTATAACATACCTCTGGAAGAAGTGGGACTTGTACCTGGGGCTCCTGGGTCAAAGGTAGAGATACTACCATTGCACCACAAGAACAATACTTGGGCTCTAGCTGTTCACTATCTATAGAAACAATTTGGGGGTGGGGACCAAGTGCAATGTTTCCAATTTTGCTGATGCTACAAAGCTAAGTGGAATGTGTGGTGTGAGAAAGATGTAAATCAGCTTCAGGAGAATTTGGACAGACATAATGAAAGGGTCAGAAGATGGCAGATAGAATATAATGTTGGAAAATGTGAGGTTATCCATTTTGGTAGGAGTGGGTGATGTGCAGAATATTTCTTAAATGATAAGAAGCTGTAAAGTGTAGATGTACAAAGGGGCCTTGGTGTCTTTGTTGATAAGTCACTGAAAGCTAACATTCAGGTGCAGTAAGCTATTAGGAAGGCCAATGGAATGTTAGCATTTATTGCAAGAAGGTTTGAGTACAGGAGTGGTGAAGTTTTACTCAATTGTACAGGAGGTTGTGTAAATCGCATCTGAATACTGTATACAGTTTTGGTTTCCTTATCTCAGGAAAAGTATTATTACCTTAGAGGGAGTGCAACAAATAATTCATGGCTCTAGTTCCAAAGATGGTAGAACTGTCCTATGAAGAGAAATTGGGAAAAGAATTGATTTCATTGTCATAGAGTTTTTACAGCATGAGAAGAGGCTATTCAACCCATCGTATCCATGCTTGTCATCAAATATCTATCTATTCTAATCTTATTTTCCAGCACTTGGCCCATAGTTTTTTGGCATTTCAAATACTCATCTAAATAGTTTTTAAATGTCTTGCTGGTCCCTGCTTCTACCACTCAGTTCCTATCACTCAAGTCTCTGGGTAAAACATTTTCAGATACCCGCTAGCCCTCCTGCTCCTTACCATAAAACTGGGTCCTCAGGTTTTGGACCCCTCTACTAGGAGGAAATATTTCTACATATCTAACCCATCTATAGCACTCAGAACATTGTACACCTCAGTCAGGGTGAGAGAGACACATGACAAAAATAAAACTGCACAAGTACATTGGTAATTCCACTTAGTTTGGTGGTCTGAAGGTTATGTTCACTTATATCAAGCAGCACGAGCTGGATCTTTGTACAATGAATGTATTTTGTGGTGGACTGGTTTCTGTGACCCAGTCTCTCAGATTGAGCTATTATAAGAAGTGTAGTTTGTCACAAATCTCGCTTTGTACATTCTCCTGATTTCTCACCTGATAGATTCTGGTTAATTGTATGTGGTAATATTGCAGGGCTACATGTCACAAACATTTGGCTTTATGAAAATTATACAAATTGAGAAGAAATGGTTTTAAACTAATTGCACGCAAAATTTTAAGATGTACCATTTAACCTCGTTGAAACTGGACTGGTCTCCGTAGCACCAGACAAATATATGAATGACCTTTCTTCGACTTGCATGTAAGTTCAATTAAGGAACGCACCAGGACAATTAGTTGGAGTTAGATGGAATCAATGGACAGGAAAGGGAGTCTTGTGGTGCAGTCGGTAATGTCAAGTCTCTGAGCCAGAACACCGAGTGCTTCTCCAGGACTTGGCAGCCACAGAAGGTATGTTCATGATGTGGCCGAGTGGCAGGCAGTTCGAACGTGAGTGTCTCCTGGTCAGCCATGCTTGATGCACAATTGCAACCTTCAGGCTTTTGCCTCTGACGACAGGCTAGTGAGCTGTTCCCAGAGAAACTAGTTTTGGAAACAGACAAAATACATGCTATGTCTAGCCCCAGAAATAAGTAAGTGGGAAGGCAATTAGAACTTTAGGTCAAAACATGATGCATAACTTTCTGCAAAATATAATCCCATTTATCTTCTTTTGGTTTGTCTGTTTCCTGTCTGTTGAGTAATATAAGGTCTGATTATTGTTCTGCCATTTCCTTTTAAAGTGAAGGCTGAGCCTGGCTCTGTAGGTGCTTGCTTTAGTCCCTCAGTACCCACAGCAAGCACTGTGAAAGTGGAGCAAGGAGGATCGGATGGGCCATTTGAAATTATTGAGTAAGTCCTGCATTTTATTTTCAAATCCCCTTCTCATAGATGCCTCTCTGTTGTGTTCAGAGCTTAGATACAGAGTACAACTCATAGTGTCCCATCAAACATTCTCCGGGACAGGTACAGCACAGTTTGGCTCAAAGTGACGGTCCAATTACGCTGTTTCAGCAACCTCCCCCTGGTGAAGCATATACAGGCCTATGCTCAGCTACATTTGACCTCGTTCTTGGAAATCTGTTGGAGATTTCACCTCTATTCTTTGATCACTCTTTGGGGGATGGAGAAAAAACATGTCTGTGTAAACCTGGTGATGCATGGCTGTGAAATCTACATGGCTGCAGGATGATCTAGATTGGGACCTGAATATTGAAGGGTATGTGACACTTAGGAAGGACTGGAAGCTATTAAAGGGTGTAGGAGTGGCCACGGTAATTAAAGATGATATTAGCACAATAGAAAGGGATGACCATACTTTAGGAAACCAGGATATAGATGTGGTCTGGTTAAAGATGAGGGATAATAAAGGTGAAAGGTCATTTGTGGGAGTTGTGCACAGACCCCCTAACAGTAACCAGATGGCAGGATAAGGTATCGAGGAAAAAATAATGGGAGCTTGTCAAAAGGGGTAGCAATTATCATGGGGTTTTTAAGCTACTTATAGACTGGAAAAAAGAGGTCTAGTGGAGGAATTTGTTAAATATTTTTAGTCTAATTTCCTAGACCTACATGTAATGGTACCGACCAGAGAGCAGGCTTTACTAGACAAAAAAAAAGAGAACTGCGGATGCTGGAAATCAGAAACAAAATTAGAAATTGCTGGAAAAGCTCAGCAGGTCTGGCAGCATTTGTGGAGAGGAAACAGGTAACATTTTGAGTCTGTTCTGAAGAAGGGTCACTAGAGCCAAAACGTTAACCCTGCTTTCTGTCCACAGATGCTGCCAGACCTGTTGAGTTTTTCCTGCAACTTCTGTTTTTGTCGCAGGCCATACTGGGTCTGGTTTTGAATGACAAGATGGAGTTAATTACTGATGTCATAGTGAAAGCACCCTGCAGTGGACTACTATTTTGAATTTAAATAAGGGCATGAAAGTAAAGCGAGCAAGTGAACTGGCCTTTAGGTTAAAGGTTAGGTCAATAGTTCGACCTTTAAAGAGAAAAGACAGGTTAATATTTTAATTACAGTCTGGATGTCACTGCTTTACAGATGCGTACAGAGCATTGACCAGCATCTTATTCCTTACTACCTTTAGCCTCGAATATATTGAGAATATACAGCAGCTACTGACTGCCATCCTGAAGAAAGTGCCTCTGATTGCTCCCAAGAAAAGTGAGTAAAACTCTTTGACTTTTATTTCACTGTGTTACTCGTTTTAGCTTTGGATTCGATAGCTGCAAATCCATGCATTCATGTTGACCAGGTTTTGAATTGGTTTAAAGCAGCTATTCGAGCAGATTACCATAAATATTGGGCTGGAAACCAAGAAGAAGTCCTCCTGATTTTTGTAGAAATAGTGCCATGATGTCTTTTGTAGAAGTTGGGTAGGGATAAACTGGGAAACTGCAAGCCTCCTAGTCAGGGAATGCTTCAGCGGTCAAGGACATTCAGTCTCTGATCTTCGGGTGAGTATCTTCCAAGGCGGCCTTTGAGATACACAATAATACAGAATTGCCCAGCAGAAACTGATAGCCAAGTTATGTACCCATGAAGACAGCCTCAACCATGATCTCAGGTTCAGGTCATGCTATGTGTAACCCCACCACACTGTTTTTGTATTTGTAAAGTCTTCCTTACTGTCCTGTTTTAGCATTATCACCTGATAACTTGTTATGATCTCTCTAATTAGTTTTTACACTTTTGGATTACTTGTTACTTTGGTTAGACCCTCGTCATGCAACTTTTCTACCTATCATGTTTTTCTAGTCATTTGGTTTGTCTCCAGCACCATCTTATTTTTAATTTTTTGTAATTATCCCTCTGCCTCAATTAATCGGATCATAGCTCATCCCTTCACTTGTTATTTAGCTGTTGACACTTTTGATCACCTGCAGAGACTTGTTTTTCAGCCTGTCAACACTCCACTCACACAATTTGCATGATATTTTGATCTCTCTTATGTGTTCCTCTTCACTTCTCCTCACGAAGGAGCAGTGTTCCAAAAGCTTGTGATTTCTAATAAACCTGTTGGACTATAACCTGGTATCATGTGACTTCTTACCTAATTAAAAATAGTCAGCATGACTTTGTAAGGGAGCAATTGTGTCTAACAAATTTGAATCTTTTGAAGAGGTGACTAGGCATGTAGATAAAGGTATTATAGTTGATGTAGTGTAGATGGACTTCAGTAAAGCTTGTGAAAAGGTCTTGTATGGCAGACTGACTAAGTATCTAAAAGCCCATGGGATTTGGAGCAATTTGCCAAATTGCATCCAAATTTAGCACAGGAAACAGAATGTAAGAGGTGTGATCAGTAAATTTTCAGACAACACAAAAATTGGTGGCGTTGTAAAAAGCAAGGAGGAAAGCCTTAATATATGAGGTGATATAGACAAATTGGTCAGATGGGCTAAATAGTAACAAATGAAGGTGATGCATTTTGGGAGAATTAACAAGGTATAGGTACCCATGTTGACTCATAGGAAGTACAGAAGGACCTTAGTGTGCAAGTCCATTAATCCTTGAAGGTAACAGGACAGGGTAGATAAGTTGGTTAAGATGACATATAGGATTATTAGTCAAGGAATTGAGTACATGAGCAAGGAGGTTATGGTGAAACTGTACGTAACATTAGTTGGGCCACGACTGGAGTTCTGCGTGCAGTTCTGTTTGCCACACTAATGGAAGGTTATAGGTAGGAAAAGGCGGCAGCATTTAGCCTTGGCTGGAATGTTTCAGCTATGGAGAGAAAGTAGATAATCTGTGGTTGTTTACATTAGTGCGGCAAAGCTGAGCAGGGATTTAATTAATGTGTACAGAGTTCTGAGAGGCATAGACAGGGAAAATAGGAACTGTCCCTTTTCAGTACAAGGGTCAATAACCATGGGGACAGTTTTAAGGTAATGAGCAAGAGGTTGTAGGTATCTCAACCTCACTGCATGAAAGGATGATAGAGGTGGGAGTCCTCAAGAAATTTAAAATGTGTTTAGTTGAGCACTTGAAACGGCAAAGCATACAACAGCCCTGAATTAATTTGGAAATATCAGGACAATCGCTCCTCGTGTTGACCAATATTCAATCAATGTCATCAGCAACATAATGTGGAGGTGCCGGTATTGGACTGAGGTGAAGAAGATTAGAAGTCACTCGACACCAAATTATAATCCAACAGGTTTATTTAAAATCACAGGCTTTTGGAGCATAGCCCCTTTGTCAGGTGAAGTGATTTCTAATAAACATGTTGGACTGTAATCTGGTGTTGTTTGATTTCTGACCTTATCAACAACATATTAATTGGCCATTTTCCCACTGGTTGATTATGGCACAAATTGGCTGCTATACTTATAAGCATTGTAATTCCTTGGACATGAGGTTCCTTGGATGTCCTAAGAGCTTGATAAGGCCCTACAGACTATAGGGGTCTTCTCACTGCCTCTATAGCTTGGATGGAGATCAAAATTAGAAGTTCATGATTAAGATGCCCTTTCAACCTGAATAGTTTTATGACCTGTGCTAAACTGAACCAGTGACTGAATTCAGCAAAGTGCTCAATTTGTGTTGCCCAACTGTTTTGGCAGACTAAGTGCTGAACCCTGCAATCACAGTTAAAATCACTTTCCTTTAGCTGTTTCTATCACATTGGTAGTTTATCTGTCACACCCAGTGATCTTTATAATGCTGTCATATATTGCACACTTATCACTGAACTTTCTCTAATAGACGAGGACTCCAACCCATTCTGTGCTACCTCCCTGGAGCAGTATTACAGCTGGAATATTGGGAAGCGGAGAGCTGCAGAGGTAAAACCCACTCCCAGTACTCTTAAGCCGAAGTTATCTCTTAGTTCTTGTCTTTACATTAATTGTACAGTACTTTGAACAGCATAAATGAAAAGTGGAGTAAAATCAGCCAGATTTTGGGGGTGGGGTGGGGTGGGTGACAGTGGCCTCATGGTAAAGTCATTGGGTTAATAATCCAGAGGCATAGACAAATGCACTGCGGATATGGTTCCAACATGTATCACAATGAGTGGTGGAATTTAAATGCAATTATGGAATTTGGAATTGAAATCTAGTCTCAGTAATAGCGGCCATTAAACTATCGTCAGTTGTCATAAAAGCTATCTAATTTAGTGATACCTTTTACAGAAGAAAATCTACCATCCTTGCCTGGCCTACAAGTGACTCTAGATCCACTGAACTGCCCTCTGAAATACCCGAGCAGAGCAGGTCAAGGGCATTGAAGGACAGACAACAAATGTCAGTTTTGCCAGTGACACCCACATCCCATGAATGAATAAAGGGGTCAGAAAGGTTTCCCACACCTGATTGCTATCCGCTAGTCACTGTTGAAAACTTACGTAGATTTTTGGTAACAGCTGTACTGTGTTGCATCCCTCAGTCAAAAATCCCTCACCTACAAAAAAAAGCAGATTGTACTTTTTGAGGGATTTTCCTCCTGTATAACTGAAGTTCAGCAAGATTGGGATAAGGTGAGGGGGTTGGTCTGTTTTGTGGCCTCTTCCATAGATGTTCTGAAATTATCATGTCTCTGTTTAAGGAAGGCAGCTGAACTTTGCTTGATGCCTCACTGAGTGTTGAGGCTAAGACTTGACATCTTAACATGTCATGACCTACAGACAGGACTTGGTGTATTGGTGGCTAGGATACAGGGTTCCCCATGTCAGGGTATGTGTTACAGGAACTTGTATCCAAGCATCTCTAATACAGGTTGTTGTGTTCAGTGGTATAAATTCCTCTATCCTATTCCTTAATTCTCTAGAAATATTCCATATTCTTGAGGGCAGGAATAAGTCACTCAGCAACTCAGACCTATTCTGCCACCCATCACAGTGATTGTTGCTAACTTATACCTTGCCTTGATATCATTGCCTTTGTTCTGTATCCTGTGATACATAAAAATATCCAATACCTTCTGATCTTAGTCTTGAAATCTGCAGATGTCTTTTGGAAAAACAATTCCAAATTTCTACTACAACAAAAGCAAAACACCGCTGGAAATCTGAAATGAAAACAGAAAATGCTGGCAGTAACTCAGAGTTCCTGATTTCACTCCCAAAAGTGAAACCTGTCATTTTCAAATTGTGTCCTTCCTTGTACTCTTCCCATGCCTGGGAAAACCAGTTCTCCCAGTGCACTGTGTCAAATGTCGTCATTGTTTTAAACATCTCAGTTGGATCACCCCTCAAACTTTTAACCTCTGGGAAATACAACCCCCTTTCGTGCAACTAGTACTCATTGTTAAACCATTCAAGTTCTGGTGTGATTCTGGTCTCTGTACAAAATTCACCCTGAAAGACGACTTCTCTGAAGTTCATGCTCGAAACTAAATTAATACTTGAGATAGAATCTGACTAAACCTCTGTGCAACACAAACCAAATTTCTACCACTCAGTATTCTGGTCCTCCTGAGATAGAGACAAACATCTATTAGACTTTCTCATGACTTCAGCCCAAGAATGCATCTGGCGTGTTTTCCCTCCTTATTTGTAGTCTTTAAGGATGGTGACGGAAAGCTCAGAATCTCATATTCCTTCCTGCCTACCCTAGTGGCAGCGTGCAGTAGCCGTAAGAAAGATTCTGCAGGAGGTGATGGAGAAATGCTCACGGTTCAGTAGCACAGACGTCATGAAGACTAAGCAAATCATGTACTGGTGTCGCCAGCGCGGGTACACCCCCCCTGACCCAGAGACTGCCATCACCGAGGAGGATTCGATGGAAGATATACTAACTCGAATCGACAACGAGCCAGGTGAGATCAACATTCCATTCCGAGTGATAAATCACTCAGGTTAAGGAAGGTGAAAGAACAAAATGAGCCCCCACTGTTTGCTGAGTGAATTGTTGAATTCCTAAACCAACACAAGTTAAAACAGAAGTTGGGAGTGAGAAGTTAAGCCTAGGCAGTTCAGACTTTTCTCCCCTCTACATTGTACATTCAAAGCTCTTTCTCCCACACCTTGTACATTTGAGATCTGTCTCTCCCACACGCTGTACCTTTGAGACTCTCTCTCACACACACTGTACATTTGAGTCTCTCTGTCCCATACCACGTACATTTGAGTCTCCCTCCCCCACATTCTATACATTCAAAGTTCTCTCTCCCACACCCTGTACAGTTGGAGCTCACTACCACACCACCACAGCACACACAACCCCCCCCTCAAATAGTCACACACACCATGTCCTGTACATGTATGGCATAATAGTCCCAATGACATCATGTCAGTCAGTAGTTTAGAAAGATAATCTGAAGCATTGTATTAAGTTTCCAGTTCAGCCTGATTTCTAATCACTGTTTCTTTTGTCTGTATCCCTCTAGGATTGGGTAGAATGGAGTTCCAGAGACATGTCAGGCTCATTGTTCATTATTTAATATTTTATAATAAATGATCCACAATTTTTAAATTCTGGCAATTATTTGACAGCCACAATAACAAATGTTCAATGTTCTTTGAAGACAATTCCCCAGGAGACATTCTATTTGTAGCTTATCAGCACACTATGCAAACTATATACTTTCAAAGCATACAGCTCGGTGTCCTTGTCCTATATAGCAGTAAATGATTCCAGTATTAAATCATTGGGATAGATTTAGATAATATTTAAAAGGCATCAGTGATAAATAACATCACGTAGATTTAAGAAAGAGAGATGGTCCAATTTTAGAATCAGATCTAACTTTATGACAGGCAGTCAAATCACTCTGGTTTAGATTGTCCAGAGGTATTTACTAGCTCTGCTTGATTTACAATGACTCAGGTATACTTACAAAGCTTTAAAGCTATTTGAAACACTTGGTGATCGATTTTATGCTTTCCCATTTAGAGTAACTGGACCACAGGATTAGTGGTGTGGTCTTTAAAATGGAATATTTTGCCTTATTCCACATTTATTCTGGCTACCATTTGAAATGTTATACTGCAGTTATGTGGCTGAGGGATATGAGCTGGTGTTGTGTTACGAAAGCAGGGTAGCAGTTATTCTTTAAATGGGCCCTGAGCGGAGAAACTGATCAGGATTTCTCACCAATCTGAAGCAATTCTGCACTTGATTTAGAAAATGAGCAACCATCTGAAGTAAGGGGTGTTCAAGTATCAATTAATTTTGGTCTCTAACTGATTCTGTCAATTTATTTTTATTATTTTCTATGCAAAGAAGGTCTATGAGTTAATATACCTTGGCATCACAATTAGGCTAGTGAATACATTTTACATTTACACTCCTTCCCCCGCTCCAAGATGAAATCAATCACCTTGATGGGAGGTGATGGCCTAGTGGTATTATCACTGGACTGTTAATCCAGAGAACCAAATGACTTTCTGCAGACCTGGGTTTGAATCCCGCCATGGCAGATGATGGAATTTGAATTCAGTGAATATCTGGAATTAGGAATCTAATGGTGACTGTGTACTCATTGTCGATTGCTGGGGGAAAAACCCATCTGATTCAAATATCCTTTAGGGAAGGAAACTGCCATCCTTACCTGGTCTGGTCTACATGTGACTCCAGACCCACAGCAATGTGGTTGACTCTTAACTGCCCTTTGATCAATTAGGAATGGGCAATAAATGTTGCCTCGCCAGCGACACCCTCATCCCTGAATGAATAAAGAAAAAAAAATTGTTCAGTGCCCTTCATGACACTTGTATGTCCCTGGATATGTCTTTATATTCTTGAAGATACTTCCATATTTCTGATGAAACTTTCATATTCGTGATCTACTCTACAGAGTTCCAAAGTGATTTTCCAAATCCTTCCCATTGTTTACAACTCATTTTGTTACATTTTCCTCTAAGTGCAGGCCATCTGAGTTACTTTAAATCATTTAAGAACTCTCCTTTATTTACAAACTGTTGGATTTCTAGAAATGCGCAGTGCTATTTACTCTGATCAATATTTAGCAATTCACAATTAAAATACTAACTCATGGATCGTTTTAATACTTGCCATTGTTCACCAAATCTGCAGCTTGCTTTAGGAGTTTTCTATTATCCAACAGTTTTGGTAATGTATTTCAGAATGCCCTTCCACATACACCATGGCCAGTGAGCTCTGTCAAAGGCTCATGGAGGTGGAGGCTATTTTGAAAACGGAATCTGAGAGCGATGAAGAGGTTGACATAATTGGCACAGCCGAGTCTTCTAAAGTGAAAATCAAGAAGGAACTGGAGGAGGAGGAGGATGAAGAGGTCAAATTCTACATGGGGCTGATGCCAGCCATGGAGTATGCCAGAGACACAGCCCAGCAGGTAATCAGGAAAAGATAAGATGTAGCCAGAAACCCAACTTGCAACCAATACCCACCTGCCTGTTTGTATGTGTTTTGTACGTCTGGCACTCTGTTTGCTGGGTGAGGGGTGTGCATGCATGTATGCATCTGGGCATCTGTGTCCCCTTCTTTGGACTGCCTTTCCAAGATGGTGTAGTCCCTCTGCAGCCTCTGTTTGTTTTCCTTCTGGTTTAGTCCCTCCACACCACTCTGTTTTCCTTTATAGATTGGTGTCACGATTGAACCTGTTGAGGTGGAGAGCCGTGTCTATGCCCCAGTGATCGAAGGGATGATCGTAAAGGTAAGGTCAAGAGGTCTTACTGAATAATTGCAAGTTGCTCAATGACGGTGAGTCCTTGCAAGTGAGGATGACTTCCTGCAGGGAGGGTGAGTGGCTCAGAGCAAGCCCATGTTCCTGTGTGGAAGAGTGAGTGGCTGCGAGTGATGTTAAATTATTGCAAGTCGCAGCTAGTCCCTGTGTATAAGTCACTAGAGCTAGCAACATGTTGCACTAAATTATGCAGTAAGTCTGCGTAACAGATTGTCACTCTGTAGTCTGTGCCAGATCTGAGCAACAACAGATCACTCCAAGAAGCTAATGATTTTCCAGGATCTGCTGATACTGGCCGTGGTTCCTAACCTCCAACCTGTTACTGTAAAATTCAGTCTCTGTCATGTTACAGGGAGGTGCAGAGTAAAGGGCCATTGGGAAGCTGCAGTATTCAGTGACTTGATGTGCTGGCCTGATTCCTGATCTGTAGAATCTCTTTGTCTTTAGGCTGCTGAACTGTTTGTAAGTGACATCCTTCGAGAGTCTTTGAAAGTCGCATACCAGAACACTCCCCATAACAGGTATGTTGCAGTTTTCCTTCTAATTGACTGAGTCTCTGCCTGTCAATGTCAAGGTTAAGATGAGAGACGAGCAGGACCGGTGCTTAATTAGAAAACAGGCAGAAAGAGATTTGGGCAGATGGTTACAGAGGCTGGTGTTTGGACAGTTATTCAGAACGGCATTGGAATAGTGGAGCAAATACAGAAATTGCTGGAGAAACTGAGCAGCATCTGTGGGGAGAATACAGAGCTATGAGAAAAGAACTCGGGGGTGGTACTCATTGCATAACTCTTGGCATAGGCAAGATGGGCTGAATAGCTACTTTCTGTGTAGTATCATTTCATGTCCATTTGTAAATAATCTGTTTCTTTATTTGATTTAGAGCACCCAAAGAACTGAATGTAATCAACGTCCACCAAGCCATCTGTAACATCTCCGTCTGCGACTTCCTCACCAACAAGTACATGGGCATGCTGGCTACAGAACAGACCCCACAGCAGGGATTATGAAGGGCTTCACACTCTTTCCGTTCCATTGAAGACAGGGACTTGGCAATGTCCAAAGCCACTGTTACACTGACATATCACTGCAGCCGTTGTGCCCATGATGGTGAGGGTGACACTGCGCCAATGCATGTTGTCAGTACTCATCGTGGAGCCACAGAAGCTTCCGGAAGTAGTGCTCCCAGTTGGAGCTGGCTGTTGTCAGAGGTTGGGTAGGAGCTATAGCAGGAATATGTTTATGTTCATTCAAGAGCTGGAAAAAGACAAAATACTGGCAACGTACATTTTTATGTCTTTGGATTGGTGTGTCTAGGACAAAACTGGATTAATGATGTTCACACACTGTGATGGAGGGCTTAAATCAATGTCATCTCCCTTCAGTCTAAACAGCTCACACCTCTGGTCCAAATGATGTCATTCAATGACTAAATCAGCTTGTAATTGTAATTGTTATTAAATATTGTTTTTAAAGAAAAAGGTACCTCACAGTTTTGAAATTCCACAGCATGCTACATGCCCTTTACAGACAGAAATTAAATTGCCCATCAGTAGGAACAGGGTTTTACGGTTTCATCTGTACAATCTCCCATCTACCAGCTCGCCTTTAGTAAGGGCAGTAATAGAAGGACCTAGCACTCCCTGACAGGTCTGCTTGCTGCCGTCACGCAGCCAGCTTTACAGCACCAACAACAGCTAAAAGCACACCATCATCACCATCTCGTCCCACTATCCTGGCTTTTGGGGAGGGGCGGCCTTCAAAGCCATCATCATCTCTATAGCTTATTGACGAATGGCAATTTGGCTCCCCTTCTGACCTCACTCACCAGCGGCCATTGTATTTGTTTCTTGTGCTGTTGGTTTAACTTGGTCAGAGAGTTGCGTTGTGCAGCACAGCCAATTAGCTTGAATAGCAAGATAGGTTCTTATGTCCATGAGCTAGATGGTTAACCTGTTGCTGGATAAGATTATAACCTGGCTGGAACAGTAATGTGTTCCACCCTCTTTCCCCTTGTTCCTGAAGGTCATTAATAAGTTAAAAATCCAATTGAATAAAATCAATTTGAATTGAAAAAATCTGAGTTTGAACATTTTCTGGGTGCAGTGGTAACCTTTTATAGGTCATCAGTAAGAAGACTGTTGTTGAATGTATTGTTCTTTACAGATGTACCTGGCTCTACAGTAGCTCTACAACTGTTTACATTTGGATACTAATTGTCTTTATATTTGAGGGATTTAAAACCGCTGTCCCCCAGACTCTAAAGTAAAATAGTTAAGAACTCTGAAAATATAAATGAAAGATGAAATGCTGTAAGCACAAGCCAGATTTGCCAGTTTCTGACATGCTTCCTTCATCAGAGCCAGTCGGTTATAATGACTTGTGTCTGATTTAGTTTCCCCAAATAACATTTAATAGTCTAGAGAAATGCAAACTTGCCACTGATTGCATAATCCTGATTAAACCACTGAAACATTAATTGGAGTTATTGAAGAGAGTCCTGTACAGCAATGAGTATAAGACTGTTGATGTACTCTCGATCAGATCCTCTGACAAAGAATTGTTTGGAAATCTGCCAAACTCAGAACCATTACAGGTGGCAGCTATCAGTCAAAGCATAAAGGACAACAAATAGACTTTCATTAGACATTGGCAGTAAGAGATGGATCAAGGTGAGCCCAGGGATAAGAGGCTTTAATTAAGAAGAGGGATTAATGGAACTGGGGACCTTTCCATTAAAGAGAGAAGGTAAGGCGATCTAAGAGAGGAATTAAATGTAAGATCATCACCAAATCAATAATCGGAGAGATTTGGTGGATTGTATTTTCATGCACACGACTTGTATTGATTTAACACCTTTCGTAACCTCAGAACATCCCAAAGCTCTTTATAGCCGATGAAGTACTTGTTTAAGTCTTGTATTGTAGGAACGAAAACAATCCATTAATGCACATTTCCCTTTCACAAACAGCACAATACTGACATTTTTCTTAAAAAATGTGTTGGTTGATAAATAATTATGGCAGAGGATAACTTCTGCTCTTTGAAATAATGCTGAGGGGTCTTTAATGTCAACTGAAGAGGGAAAACAGGGCTTTGGTTTAGCAGCTTATTCAGAAGGCAGCTCCTCTGACATTGCAGCACTCACTCGGTTCTGCACCAAAGTGTCAGCCTAAATTGTGTTTTTAAGTCTTTAGAGCGGATCTTGAACCCACATCCTTCTGGTTCAGAAGAGAGAGTGATACCATCTAAACCATTATAATCTGTGACTGGCACACTGGCTGAAGATGTTCCATGCAGCTGTGAGAGGCACAAATCAAGGACTGGGTCTGTGTCTAACCACGTCCTACGGCTATTCTGATGTTATTTACTTCACTGTTGAAGGCTGATGCACATTGTGCCAATGCAGTTTCCTACAATTTTTGACTAGTAAATCAGGATGAGAGGCGAACAATGACTCACACAGCGAACATCACTTACTGCCTGCATTTCCACATTACAACAGTTGCTACACTTTAAGAGTGAACCCATTGTTCAATTACCGATTTTCTCCCTGTTCCCGAAGGTGCTGATGCATTAGGATACCAGTGACTGAGCAGCTATTTTTTCCATGTAATTCTAGACTCTTAAATATTTGTGATTTAACGATGAGAAATATCACAGCTGAGATACTCTTCCCACCTTCAATATTTGCATGTGAATGTATTTACTAACACTGAAATTCCCTCTTGTCAAGTAATAAGCTTGATGGTAGCTATTCACAGCGTGTCCTTTCTCTCAAGCGGGTGATGGATGTGAGATTGCGATCAGAGCTAGCGTTGTTTCAGCCGTTTCACAATCTGGCTATTCAAACCTAATATCAGAAAAATGCTGGTCACCGTATGATTAAATTGTATTTTGATAAATGATTGTGCTTATGAGCATGAAGGATGATCTTGATGGCGAATGGAATACTTGTCTCCTTTCTGACCAAGTACAATGTTGGGATTTGGTAACCATTTACCCCTGGAAATAATCAACCTTGAAATGTGTTTTGTTCAGCATTCCCGAAAGTATTCTGCTAAATTGAGCTTCTGTAGCATGAGGGATGCATGTTAATTAATATGCAAGATGGTAAGTGGTGTCTTCTAGAAACCAAACAAAAGTCAATTCATTAAAAATATAGAAAACAAAATCCTGGGGATGCTGGAAGCACTTAGTCGGCCAGATCACATCCATGGCAAGAAAAGACAAGTTAACATTTCTTTCTGACAATTAAATGAAATGATATGCATTTACACAGTGCCTTTATATAGTGTCCCAAAGCGCTTTACAAACAAATGCAGTACCTAAATTGGGAATAGCACAGTTTCATAACTGGCAACTACATACATGACTGGATGACTAGTGATGTTGGTGGAGGGAGTACCAGGAATCTTTATACTACTTTTGATCACAATAATGACATTGGATTTTTTTTTTCCCCATTAACCTGAGATGGCTTTGGTTTAATGTCTCACCTGATAGCTGCAACTTTGACGAACAACATCTCACTCCGGCATCGAGAGTCGACATAGATGGTGTGTCCGTGTCTGTGGAGTGGGATGTGAATCTATGTCCTGACTCAAAGGTAAAAGTGCAACTGTCTGAGCTGTGACGATTCATAGCCATGCCCTCAGGAAGATCTCCAAAACTTTGTGTCGATTAACCCAATGTTCGGACATCCCCAATGAGTGGGAAAAATTGAGAGAATTTACTCGAGGTTAGAGTTGGACAAATGTAATGATAATGGAGATTTGCAAGGCTGGAAGAGATTGAAGAAATCCAGAGAAGTGAGGCAGGGAAAGATTGTATTCAAATGTGTGCTTTAGTGGAACATGATCTAGTGTATGTCAGTGAACACACCAGCTTCATTATTCATCTTCGCTCAGCATTTAAAAATTTGGATCATGTCCCCTCTCAATCTTTTAGTCCCCATAGAAAGCATATTGTGCTCTTGAGGGTCACATCCCAATAACAGCTCCAAGTCATCACTATGCTTTTCTCCAAGTCTTTGTCAATGACCAGAAAAATCAGAGCAACAGTGTCAGGGAATTTCTGTGATCCACTATGTATTGCTGTGAGAGGTATCCATCAAAGGGGAAATGGTGGGATGTCATACTGATTGCACCTCAAAAAATATCAGGAGTCCCACAATTTTTCATTCATTGACAGTGGGGGGAGAGCTGTATCAAAGAATTACCCCCAAGGAGCAGTAAATTCAACAAGCTCACTAATTGTTCAATTCCATTTAGCTTCCTCTCTTTGTATTCCTGAATTATTCTCCACAAGCTGACAGCTTGCTTAATATCGCCTGAGCTCACATCATATCCCTCATGTATCCAAATCTTTAATATTCCTTCATCCCACCTACTCAACCTCTCATGATGTTCTGAATCCTTTACATCTCTAGATATGTCCAAGTTATGCTGTCCATTTAGATACTTCCCTAATAACCTTTTCTGTATCTGCATTATCGGGAAAGTGATGAGTTCTTTGACTGCCTTCTGCCCTCCAGCCTCAGTTTTAATTTTAAACGCAGTTCTTTGATAAAATGATGCGATATATAGTCTGTGGCATCAAACCAAATCCCTGATTCACCTATAAATGGATAATGAAACACAAAATGGGAATATTGTGAAAAAATTAAGAAATCCAGTTGTAACTGCACAGGCCACTTTATCAGAGATAGTAGGAACTGCAGATGCTGGAGAATCTGAGATAACAAGGTGCAGAGCTGGATGATCACAGCAGGCCAAGCAGCATCAGAGGAGCAGGAAGGCTGACGTTTCGGGCCTAGACCGTTCTTCAGGAACGGGGAAGGGGATTCTGAAATAAATAGGGGGAGGCGGATAGAGGAGAAGATAGGTGGAGAGGAGACAGACAGGTCAAAGAGGCGGGGATGGAGCCAGTAAAGGTGTGTAGGTGGGGAGTTAGGGAGGGGATAGGTCAGTCCAGGGAGGACGGACAGGTCAAGGGGGCGGGATGAGGTTAGTAGGTAGGAGATGGGGGTGGGGCTTGAGGTGGGAGGAAGGACAGGTTAGGGAGGCGGGGACAAGCTGGGCTGGTTTTGGGATGCAGTAGGGGGAGGGGAGATTTTGAAGCTTGTGAAGTCCACATTGATGCCATTGGGCTGCAGGGTTCCCAAGCGGAATATGAGATGCTGTTCCT